GACCCTGGACCTGAGCCTTGGGCAGGGTACTGAGACTTAGCAGTATAGAAGGCACTTGGGAATCAAACCCTGCCCGGTTTAGATAGGTGAGGCTACCTCTGTCAGACTTTTTGTTATTTTGAAGCTTGAGTACTCGAGTTCAGTGCAGGCTGCCTCAGCAATTGTTATAACAGCAAAGCAGTTACTTCAGTGGCCAATTAATTTAATTTCTGTATTTTGCGTGTCAAGCATTTATACTGAGGATTACACTTGGAATAATAGTAGGGTTATTTTTTTTCTTTTTCTTTTTAAATTTGCTGGATCCTGTTCCTGCTATGTTCAATGTACTTGCTTCCCTCAGCCAGCTGTTATCTACTGCCATAGGTGGAGACAGAACGTATGATTTCATTGTGTAACATATTATTTTCAGCCTGTTCATGAAGCGTATGGCTTCCAGCACTTGTACTGGGGCCTTTCCTACTGCGTCAATAGCTGAGGAAGTACAAAATGAAAGCAACACCCTACAGCACAGGTCTCTGGGGACTTTTGCTTATAAAAGGAGGGAGACTGAGCTCAGTTACTGCACCCAATGGCTGAGGTTGTTCTGCAGCCATTTCATTACCCCTGATGTACCTGTGTGGAGCGCTCGTTACCCCCATAAAGATTTCCATGCAACTTAAGGCTCATTCTACCTGACAGGTGTTTATCTTCACTTCTGGGAGTTGTATGTGTCTACGTGGAAGCGGCAGCCTCCTTGTTCTACTGAATAGGAACATTAGACTGGTTTATAATTAGTGAATAAGGGGAAATGTCAGGGTAACGCTTAGGAGAACACTGTTAATAAAACACCAGGTAGAACAGTGACTGATGGCATGGCCAGGCTGCCCTGGTGCTGGAGGGCTGATGGTTACCAAAGGCAAAACATGTCCCTGCCTGGCCTGCTAGGCCATGCTGTCCTTGTCTGCTGTGCACCTCAGTTGCCCTAAAGGTACCTGTGTCATACTTGGCACATATTAATGCTGCTGCACTCACAGGGCCAATAATTAAACTCAGGCAGGTAGCAGAAAATCAGAATTCCTGTTATTTGAGGACCCTTTGCTCTATGGCTGAGGCACAGATTTTATGATTACACAGCCATGGACCCGGGTCTCTGGTTGGGCCATTGGTTGGTGCTGCTGTTGGGGCACCTGTGTACAGCCCTGGCTCTGCGCCTGTGCTTTTGGGTTCATACATTCTCCAGCATCATCACAGAATTATAGTTTGGGTTGGAAGGGACCTTCAAGATCACCCAATTCCAACCTCCACCATGGGCAGAGATACCGCCCCCCAGATCAGGCTGCCCAGGGCTCCATCCAACTCTGCTTAAAATGTCTCCAGGCATGGGACATCCACAGCTGTTCTGGGCAGCCTGTGCCAAAGCCTTACCACCCTCAGTAAAGAATTTCTTTATACCTAATCTAAAATTAGCCTCTTTCAGGTTAAAACCATTACCCCATGTCCTATCACTACACTCTGTGATAAGGAGTCTCTCCTGTTTTTCCTGTTGGTCCCTTTTAGATACTACAAGGCTGCAATAAGGTCCCCATGGAGTATTCTCTTCTCCATGCACAAGCCCAGCTTCCTCAGCCTCTCTTCATAGGAGAAGTGCTTCAGCTCTCTGAGCATCTTCATGGCCCTCCTTTGGACCCACTCCAACAGCTCCACATCTTCCTTGCACTGGGGCCCCCAGACCTGGATGCAGTGCTTCAGATGGGGCCTTACAAAGGCAGAGCAAAGGAGGACAGTCACCTCCTTCACATGCTGAGTGAGGGCAGCAGCCCCAACAGCACATTCCCAGCTTACCAATGCAGTGCTTGACTGTCTCAGCATTGCTGCTTCTCAGCTGAGGCAAGTCCTCTGCTTCCTGACTGTTAGAGAGCCCTGTTGTTGCTCTGCTTCCTGCTTCCCCTATGGTGGCTTATTTAAAAATAAGGCATTAACAAAGAGCTTAAATTGTAAAAGTAGGCCAACCAGAGGGTGGGTACAGCAAATTCTAGATGAGCCACTGTGCCAAGCTTGCAGTGAGGGCTCAACTTCATGTTACTTATCACCCAGGGAAGACTAGAACTGCACAAGGCCCCTGGATTACTGTGTCACAGGTTACTGTGACACAGGTCCAGCTCTTCAACCTGCCCTCACCTGTGAGGTAAGTGAGCAGCACTGCAGGCTGCACAGCACACAGGGCTTCCCCTGACCACCCACCTCCTTGGCGCCTGCACTGTGCCTCCCTGGCTGGTGGCTGCTGCTTGCTGGACAGAAGAGGAAGGGAGCAGGAAAAAGGGAGGAGGACCCTCACATATGCCTTTACCACACCAAGGTCTTGCTGTTACTCTGAGTAACTGCAGAGAGTAGACAGGACCCTCCAGGTCTTCCTTCTCTGCCTTAGGGCTAACTCACCCCACATACGTTAGAAAAACTGCAACCAAGAATGGAACAACCAGGAGCATTTGTCACTGGTGCCCATCCAGGATCTCCTATGGTAGCATACAATGGCAGATTCCAGAAGGCCCTGAGAAAACTCAAGTCTGATGTGACACAGTGCCTGGGTCCTCATAGCAACCTCCTGCATATTGGAGCTGTCAAGGCCAGTGGTCCAGCTTCCATGCATCATAGCACACCAGTTTATAGAATCACAGAATCCTTAGAGTTGGAAGGGACCTCTGAAGGCCATCTAGTCCAACTCCCCTGCAATGAACAGGGACACCACAGCTAGGTCAGGTTGCCCAGGGCCTTATCTGGTCTCTGGGCAACCTGTTCCAGCGCCTCACCACCCTCACTGTAAAACATTTTTTCCTTATATCTAACCTAAAGCTCCCCTCTTTGAGCTTTGCATGTGGAAAGAACAGAAGGGAACAAGCTGCAATGTATTCTATGATGCTGGAATTGAATTCTGATCACTTATGGAGGTCAGAAAAAGTTCCATGTTAATTCTCTCCACAAGCTATTCAATCTCCCAAGGTGCACACTCCAACCCCCCTGAAATAGCTGCTCTTGGATTCGTAAAAACCCAGACTCATCAAAATCCACTACATCAACTTTAATAAACTTCCTGATGAAGACAGTTAATCAATTACCACTGTTTTCATCCACCATAGGGGTTCTGCAGCTGTTTTTATTTTAAGACAATCCACTACAAAACAAGAATATGCATTTGGAATGAAGCATATTAAATCAAGATGAACATTCTGTGTGTAGAACAATCAATGCATAATTTTGTCGGAATGATTAGCTACCCTGATGTCCCAATTACTGCTGAGCCTGTACACACGTCAATGTGCACTGTGGCTTGGAGTTGCTCTACAGCCCAGGCTGTAGACAAGCACATACCATACGCATTATGATCAGTGAAGTATTGCTTCCAACTCTGCAATTAAGATTTCTGCCACCAAAAAATGCCTTTCCTCAAGGTATTCCGTTTGTTTGCTCCTATTTTCTTAAACGAAATGCTCACAATAATAATGCACTGTACATAGGGGTTTCGACTGCTTTTCTCTAAGCAAAATTATGTATTAAACACCTCTGGCTTCTTCCATTTAAAAGTGTGAAAAATGGCACAGGCAGAAAGCTAAAAATTCAAAGCTAACATATATTTTTAAAATTAAATACAGAAAGATTCATAACATGAATTGATCAGTAATGCAGTTTAGGGGAAAAACCTGCAGTTGTAGATTCTGTCATATAAAATGTATCATCTAAAACATGACAAGGATTCAGAACACATTTAGCTGAACCTGTGCCATGTCCTCAATTTTCCCAATCAACACAGGAGTGTTTTGTTTGTTTGTTTTAAGTATCTTGGAAGTCTACAATCTGTGACCAAAAAAAACCAAACACAAGACTTTTTTGAGTCTTATTTCTTTCCAACTCAAAGTACAGTAAATGAGCTGTTTTGAAGTCACTATAGCCTCACCTTTGCTTTAATCAGAACTGCTTTAGCCATTAGCTAGAATAGAAGGTCCGTAATTGTTCTAACAACTACCAAGACAAATATAATCTTTGCAGATGCGTTCCTTACTGCTACAGACTGTACTCAAAGTCAGGACCTCAGGCTGCTCCCCTGCAATGCCCCAGGAAGTTATACATCTCAGGAGAGACTCCACAGGCGACAGCTTATTGAGCAAGGAGCCATCACCAAACAGCAGGAAATACTGACCTTCACAAACAGGTATCCGTGTCTGCATGAGCTTCCATGTCCTACTGACAGCACAACAGAATGGCCCCACCCAGTGCTGGGTACTCCCTAAAGAGAAGATCAGGCTATCTGCTAAACATGAAAATGCACATAAACAGCATAAATGGCAAAAGCGGAAATATCTTCCATTGTTGGACTTCACAGCTACGTGGCACCTTAAGCAGGATTCTGAACATTATAAATTTGTATGCAGGTGTTCAAAACTTGGTGAGGGTTCAGTCAGCTGGATTCCAGCTCACCCTTCCCCCAGTACCACATAGCTTTTTAGCTAGAATACACATTCATGTTGCTCAGTGCAGCCATCAGATCATGTTCTATTGTGCTTGAGGAGCAGTCTGGCTCAGTTAACTTCTGTATTACACAGTCACCTTGAGTTGCGCAGTGCAGGTACTTAGTTATCTAATAGACCCCAAGGCAAGGATTAACTAACTGAGCATACAGCTATGAGGAGGTGAAAAATCAGCTGAATTTTAAAAGGCCAAACATAATGAATTGCAAAGCAAGCCCTATACACATAGCCCTGTACACATAGCAAGCACGCACAACTTGCAATATTAAGCAACTGCTGACACATCCTTTATACCTTCCTTTGCAATGAAGGGAGAGTCGGGAGAGAAAGAGACACCACGTAAATTCACATTCTCTTATTATCCTACCGCAGTACTATTCCGAAACAACGTGAGGTAATGGTACTGGTAATCATGGTAATGGTAATCATTAGATACTGCCTAAAAACTGGCTATCTGTTACCTTCAGATGCTTGTTACATAACAACTCAAAAGCAATCCACCAACTCAACCAACACTGGGAGTAAAAGGTCTTTCTTGTGAAAATCGTTTTATTAAAGAGATAACGTCACAACAAGCTCAAAGTAACACATGCTTCAGAAATAAATTTGATGAAAAATACTCTGAACAGAAATATGAATGTTTTGAAGGCATGGTAAATCATCAGTTGCAAGAAACTTCTGCAAACAGGTGCAAATTCTGTTGGTGCAATGGAAAAAAAAAGTCAGAAAAGAAGACTTCTGGCCATTTTGGTAGTAAAGTTTGTAAGAATTTAAATCAGAAAGGGCTCAATTTCCATGGCTGCATAGACCCAAATGTATTTCTTCAGTAATGACCTCCAGCACAGATTTTTCACTATGAGTACTAACAAAACAAATTTAGTTGACATCCAAATGTAGCAGTAATATATATATATATATATATATAATATGCAATAGATGTTTGACTCATGCAGCCTCCTCACTTACATTATTTTTCTTTAATTTACTCAAGAAACATTATAAAAAAATAAGTTTGCAATTTGAATTTCATTCCAGTGTTAGCTCTGCATCACCTCAGGCAAAGACAGTGTTTCAGCAGATAGATAATCTAATTTGGCAAGAAATCTGCCCTAATTCTTAAACTCATTTTTGTAAATCCATGTAGAAAATAAATGCAAACTCTTTATACAAAACAAGAGCGAGTAACTGTACCTATATAAAAGAGGATTTTGTTTTGTTATCATGGCACATACTTTAAAGTTTCACAACAACATACTAATTTTAATTTAGTTTTTTTTTTTAAACCCAAAAATAGTTGATGAATGGAAGAATGTGAGTTACCATAGGCAGCTGACTCATGCATTAAGCAATTCATGTTCTTTATCAGTTTTCCCAACAGCGTCAGGATTGGATAACGGGTCAAGGTCAGCAAAGATACTGAACCAGGCAGTCAAGTCTTTAGGATTCCTTGTAGGTTCTGAGGAAAAATGAATAAATAAATAAATAAAGTACAAACTTGGAGTTCTCCCTTGTCAGCTATTTCAAAACGAAACTGACTGTTTCACTTATTGCTAAGGACACTTCTGACAAGAACATCAGAATGAGTGGTTGCATTTTAAAACACCACCTTTAAAAGAATATGGAACTTTGTTAAGAACAAATGTTTTACGCCCGTCTACCTGTGTACTTTATACACCTCCTGCCATGAGAAGTACAGAACACTTCAATTAAAAATAATCTCTGTCAAGCTTTAGTGAAAGGTATTTCCGTAGAATCATAGAATCCTTTGAGTTGGAAGGGAACTTTAATGATCATCTAGTCCAACTCCCCTGCAATAAAAAGGGACACCTACTGCAAGACAAGTCACTCAGACCCTGGTCCAGCCTGACCATAAATGTCTCCAAAGACGGGGTAATCACCACCTCCCTGGGAAATCCATGCCAGTGCTTCACCACACATATAATAAAAAAAATACTTCTTCCTTATATCCAATCTAAATCTCCAATCTCCCCTTCTTTAGTTTGAAACCACTTCTTCTTGTCCTGTCACAACAAATCCTGCTAAAAAGTCTGTTCTCTTCCTTTTCGTAGCCCTCCAGTAGATACTGAAAGACCACTATCAGGTCTTCCTTAAGCCTTCTTTTCTCCAGGCTGAACAGCCCCAGCTTTCTCAGCCTGCCCTCATAGGAGAGGTGTTCCATCCCTGGGATCACTTTTGTGGACACACTCCAACATGTCGCTGAGGGCTCCATATCTGGACACAGAACTCCAGGTGATGTCTCACCAGTGCAGAGCAGAGGGGCAGGAACACCTTCCTCACCCTGCTGGCCACACTTCTTTTAATATAGCCCAGGATATGGTTGGCTTTCTGGGCTGTGAAGGCACGCTGCTGACTCATGCCCAGCTTCCCCTCCACCAGTACCCCTAAGTCCTTCACAGCAGGGATGTGCTCTATCCTTAACATCCTCCAGCTTGTACTCATAGTGGGGGTTGCCACGACCCAGGAACAAGACCTTGCATTTGAATTTGTTGAAGCTCATGAGTTTCACCTGAGTCCAGTGTCAGAGACATATACCTGTGTGTGTGAGACTTGTGTATACACCTGCATGCCCACAAAAAAGCAAAAGCTAAGTGGAAGCAAACTCTACTTTCAACCTTACAGTCTTACAGGACTGAATTCCCCACAGAATATCATAAATCATGTCTCAAGCACAGCTTCTAGTATAAGGGTAGATTTTTTGATTGATATAAAAAAAAAATGTGAACAAGAAACATGTTGAATACCAAAAGCAGCTGGAATACTGTATATCTACATCAAAATACAGATGTTGATGTAAGGCAGATTTTCAAATTAAAGAGGAGGTGACTCTGGCTGCTATAGAGAAGGTACACTGGAACAAGCTCCCCAAGGACGTGGTCATGGCCCCAGCCCACCAGAATTACAGAATCATCTGGACAATGCTCTCAAACATATGGTCTGATTTTTGGGTGGTCTTGCGTGGAGCCAGGAGTTGGAATCAATGATCCTTATAGGTCTCTTACAACTCAGGATATTCTATGATTCTATGATTTTTTTTGGAGATCTCATGTTTAGCAAGCATTGTGTTCTTAGCAAAATAAGATGTACTCGTCTACTCAGAAAGATAATGTTGTACACTAAATGAAAGCATTCTTTGTGAAATATGGAATTTATAGACAAAATATGCTCTGCTTGGCATTAATTCCATCTTCGTGTCTGTGAGGCTAGAGAACCTGTCACTTTCACAGACACAGATTTTAGAGTAGCTGAATGCTCTTTATATTTCTGGTGAAGGTGTCGCAGCTGAGACATCTTATTCATTTCCCAACCAGTTCCCAAAACATCTTAACTGTCTTTTTCTACTAGGCTAAAAGCAGTCATTCGTTTAATCCTGGGAGGCAGGGGAAGGAATACACAATGCTCCTTCCTTCTGCACTGACCATATCTGATACAGCTTCTGCTTGAAAATGAATGCACAAAATAGGCTGCTAACTGGAATAAGGATGCAATGCATTCCTGGTTCCCCTATCCAAAAAAACCCTAGTCAAAATCAGCAGGACTATACTCTTGGCTCACTTGCCACAAGCGAATTGTTTCATACAGACAACTACTGATATGATGCATGTTATCAATGAAATTTATGATAATGGCTCTTCTGTCTTATCAGTAGCCTGTATTATAGCCTAGAGCTCCAGAACACTCTAGCTTACACTAAGTGCATGCAAATGTACACTAAGTGCATGCTTACACTAAGTGCATGCAGATTTTCTGTATGACTCAAAATTGAAGTAGCAGAACAAACTGTAGCGTGAGCTCCCTTGTTACTCAGTACATTATTCTTCTGACATACCAGCACTGAAGCCTACAAACAAAACATACGCACAAACACTATACATATAATCAACACTGAGAGAGCAAAGCAGTAGCAACAAAACTCTTGATGTGTAAATGCTATAAAAAACAGGCTTTATTATGGTAGATGAAGTGGGAAAACTAGCAAGATGTCACAGTTAAAGAGGAAAAGCAAAGCATCTCAAAAACTAAATGACTTACCACCTTTCACTGGCGTCTTGTTAGCGTTCACATTCAGGCTGTTCGGTTTCTGTGCTGGCTGTGGTATAGACAGGGGGCTCCCACTGTTAGCTGCCCACCCTAAAATTCAATAATATAGCAGCATTAGTGGTAAGAATTACCTTGTCAGCTCTGACACTTCACTCTCTGGCAGCACAGTGCTCACACCAGGTGATGGAGCACAGTGCTGTTTTGCTTACGGCCTTTTCTATCTTTCCTCATATATCAGAAATCAGCAGTAAGATACTGCAGACAAACAACACCCTTAAGAACAGAGCATCTGTGGATCAGTTTCTTCATATCCAGATTCAAGGAACTGCACACTTTTCACACCTTTAACCTAGCTAAAGAAAGATAGCGGGTTTTTTTTGTATCTTTAATCCAATCACACTTAATATGCCTGTATGGTAATGAAGTCAGCCATAGCTGTAGAATGAGGAACATCAGCTACACATGGGCAAAAGTATTACATATAATAAACATTTTTTTTACATCTTCCTTCACTTTTACAGTTCCAAAGACTTATTTCATTAACTGTTCCAAGAACAAATGCATTTTGTGACCCTGGGTTATTTAATGAATTATGAAATGATTAATTCTGAAAAAAATCATTTGTTGCCAAACACTCTGAAGAATTAAATTCTAGATGAACTACTTGCAGCTAACTTAAAGCTGGGTTTTAATTGAGTATATTTTAGTTATTCTTCATGGTAAGGATCTTCTCACCAGGGAGAAAGCAACTATGTGGAAAAAAGTGAAACTGGGTATTCACAATTTACTGTTCCTATATGCACATTTCATAACCTCAAGATAATAATGACAACTACAGTTATTGAAGCTGGATGAGCCAGGCTGGCAAAATGAATTAGGGACAGCATACCACAGAAACATAGGAAACATGGTCCCTGGTTTAAGGTATTTAAATTCTTATGCTTTATCATATTTAGAGGACCAGAGGTCATATTTCTAACACCAGGATTAGAATACAGATGTGATTAGCTTGCTTCTATTTCTTATTTCAATGCCACCTCCTTTAAGTGTTGCCTAGTCAATTATCCATCCACCCCAAGGAACTTGCATATCTAATTCTGCAGTATCTGAAACAAGATATTCATCTGTACACATGGTTAGTATTTCCTTGTTCAGCCTCTTTTTCTACAAGTTCACGCTCTCACATCCTTTATCTGCTCTCGTCTTCCTTCCTCCCCTTACTTTCTCCACTTTTGAGACCACTCTCAGATACTGAGAGCTGCTGCAACAGCCATTATGTTACAGAAACCCTTCCTTCCTCTAACAGCTTATTCTCATCACTCTGATCTGGCGTTGACTATAAAGGGCTCAAGGCCCATGCTGTGTTATTAAAAGGAAGCAAGAAGAGTGTTTCTATAAAAATCACATAGATCAGAAAGGGAATTTTAAGCCACAAACATCCTCTGTATCTCTGAGAAACTTAAAACTTCCTGACAATCTGGATGCAGAAGGCTCACATACGTTTGTTCTAGGCAAAGGCAACAAAGGCTTACAGGCCAGCATGTACCTCCTGAAAATGTGATTTTAAGAATTTAATCTCTCAAATAAAAAAAAGTAAGGCATTAACACTTCAGAGTGACACACTTTTTCAGACATTTTCTCTGCTTGTATTACAAAAGAGAAGAATGGCAGAGGACACAACTACAGAAAACTGAAATGCTTTCATTTGCATGCATATGTATTGCAGGAAAGTGCTTTGCATGTCATGGATGGCAGTGGATAAAATGAGAGCTTCAGAGAACCGGGCCAAATCCTAATTTCAGAGCAATGAATGGGGAGTGCTGCCTGGAAAGTTTCTGTGCAAGTTCCACTGCCTCCAGTGAGGTCAGGAACAAACCAATGCGAGCGTGCATCACTGTGACTGGCGGAGCGCAGAGTAGAACACTGTGGGGCACCTGGCTGCTTGGACCCCTCCATTTGATTCTCTGAGCTGAGACCTGGTGAGCAGTGTGCCCACATGGTGCTGTGCTCTGGGCCTCTTCATTACAGCGCAGACAGCTCAAACACCACTTTGAAAGCAGCAAAAAAACCCAACCATAAAAAAATCCAACCCAAAATGTTCTGTAAAATAGACAATGCTAGCATTATGAAATTCTGGATCCACGAAGGCTTTGGGAAAGATTGCCACAGCATTTTTATGAAATACCTTCATGAATTTTGTTTTTACCACCCACTCACGGTGAGCTGCAGAGAACAAAGCCTGTGCCTTTCAAAACCAAACTGCAGTCTGTATCAGTGTGACAGCATTTGCTGGCCCCACACTTGTTTTAGTTTGCCTTGTTCACAGGGCAAATTCGTTCTGTGACTAGACAGAAGGTTATCGCTGTGACAGCAAGGAAACCAAACAGCTTGCTCTTCAGCGAGCTTCTTCACAAAGTTACCACAATTAAATTTAGAAATGGAAACAGTAAGCTGCACATTTTCTTACCAACTAGAAGATGTGTATATGTAGGTGATACAAAGAGGAATTGTCAGTGGGGTAACTAAATGTGGCCATAAACATGAAGGAGAAAGCCAATGCCCTCTGTGAAAAAGTGGCAAGGCAAGCGAACTGCAAAGCTGTATTTAGAGTGGGATCTAAAAGATTCACTGGGATCATGCTTTGTTTTTGATATTTGTATATATTTTTAGACATTTTAAAACAGCACTTGGTATTCCCATAGCAATCTGGAGTCCCATTGTGCTAGATCCTGTCAATAAATATAGCCAGAGAGGACTCGGAGCTGGGAATTCCTGACCGTAACAGTTTACAACCTGCATAGCACTGTGCCTGTTTTACAGATTAAGATCTGAGGCAGAGAAAAAACAAAGCCTCAAAGATTTATGAGTGTGCTTAACATAAAATAAGTAAGTAATCCCACTGAAGTTAATAGAAAAGTTAATGTGCTTAAAGTTAAGCATGTGAGTTTTAAGAATTTTTATGGTCCTAAGGCCAAATTCACACAGGAAGCATGCACCATCTAGGCTCCGCTGCAGCACCTCGCACTGAATAATTATTAAGCAATCCCATCAATTAGGGAAAAAAAAAAAAGTACAGCACAGTGTACAGATGTATCACAAATGCCTCAGTAAAATATCCATAACTCACATATTCTAATATCTTTGTTTAGATATGCTTATACTGCAGCTAGTATTTTTTTTTGGTTTTCTAAAAAGTCACTGCTCACAGATTTGACAAGATTATATGAAAGAAGTGCCATGAAATGAAATGGAGTTTCAGAAGAAATGAGATTTCACAAGATATAAAAAGCATACAATTTCACCTTCAGATAAAAAATAAAAATAATGCATTTCACTTGACAACTAGACTCAGCCAGGAACGTGATGATTATCAGATATGATCATTTGAATTGATTAGCTGTGGCTTTTCAAATGCCAGTAGATCAATTACCATTATCTTCTCCCAAAATCTTGGAAATTAATTGGAAAACATCAACATATTTTACTCTTCTAATGTGTGATTCTACAATGATATTACATTGACAGAACTACTTTTCTATTTCTAGTGTTTCATGAATGCAACATACGTAACTTGCACAGCCAATGTCACTGTCTCATGCAAGTGGAAGGGACAACAACAAAACAGATACTCAGCTGTCTGAATATATTATATATATATATATATAAAATATTTCTCCTTGAAAAAACGTTTAAATTTAAAAACATGCAAGAACTCAAGAAAAGCAATTCTCATAATATATATATTGCTATTTTTAGTCATTTGCTTAAAATCTGTGTATGTCCTTGCATCAAAAAAGTGTTTTTCATTGTTCCTTTTGTCCCTGTACCACTTGACAATGCAGTGACTAAGACTCATTATTTTTTCTGCTCCTATTTTATGTAGTCAATTCCTACACTGTTCTAGTCCCTCTTCACTCTATTAATCATACTCATATATGCATATATCTCATCGTAAAATTGCACAGCATTGCAAATGTCATTTGCCCAGCTCCCATCTAAATATTGAAGTCAGTGAACCCAAGCATCTTGCTTATGCTGGGAAGAAGGAACAGTAACTGAATTAATTACCAGGAAACTTTGACTTTCCTATTCTTGTCAAAATGGCACAGGTCATTACATATCCTACATGATTATACGAGTTTTATAGGTTTCAAGAAGTAGTCTTCAGGATGAAATCAGTCTGTTAGTCTTACTACAGAACTCTTCCCCAAAGGAGATGAAAACGACTGCTGGGACAGGGCCCAAAATAGCATGATCCTCCTCTAGTTTGCAGTGCCCTACACAGAAATCTGGGCCTGCAGCTACGGATAGTTGGGTGGACAAAGGTAGCTGTTGGCTGGTTAACCATTCTTTCTCCCTCAGGTCAAAGAAGCAGTGGGAAGGCTTTCCTCTAGTATCCCTTCTTTCTTTTCACTTCCTATTGCTCAAAAATCTCAAGAAAGAGAATAGCATAGAACACCAGGGAGAGAAGGAGTTTTTACTTGTATCAGTAGACAGATGTGCAGCCTACAACACAAATTCACCAGCACGGCTACTAGGAAAAGGTATTCCGCTCTTACCTCACCTATATCCCTACCCGACAACAGTGTAGGATACAGAAAATAAATGCAATTCATTTTCACTAAGTTGTTTAAAAACAGTATTTCCAAACAAAATACAGTAATCATTTTTGGTTCTTTGGCCCCTTAACAAACAGACACAGCAGTCATGATTTAAACAGTAAAACCCACTCAATCGTATTTTCCACTACTGAAAAAATGTGTCAAAGACCTTTCAGGAATAATAATGAAAATATTCAAGATAATTATTCTGACTCAGGTTTTAGAGTAATTCTTTCACAAATCTAAATGCAGGGCTAGAAAAAAATATGCATGTTCCTCTCCAGGTCACATTTCACTTAACTTCAGCATTTCTGCAGCTATGGCATAACATCTCTACAGTTCTAAATAGCAGAAAGCCATACTCTGAAGCTTAAAAGCAAAAACAAAATGGTAACATACCAAGATGAGTTCTTACCATGTAAAGATGACTGCAAGTCATTCATATTTTGGTCTAACAGTTGAGAAGGCAAATAGCCTGATGGAGTCGATGCCACAGCTGAAGTGTTATCCCCATCTCCAGCTGAAGAGTTCATGGCAAGATCAGTAAGTGCATCCTGTCCAAAAACAGCTGTCCATTCTTTGCTGAACTCTCCCTCTTCCAGGGAGGAAGTATTGAGGATATCATTCAGTAATACCAAGTCATCTTTATCCCTAGTTTCCAAGGACTTTGCAAACTGTTCCTTTGATGCTGTCTCAGAACAAAACAGAGAGTAAAGATAAATCAATATTAAAACAATCAATGAATGGAAGCCACATTTTCAAAATACTGTCTAGTTTCTATGTATTAACTAAGATGGGATATTTTTTTCTATAAATATTTATCATTTTCTCTTTTAGAACTAATTCTCTTGGACACCTGGGCTTGTAGTTTATGCAACAAATTATTCCCTGATTACCTTAGATAACAGTACAGCATTTCAGATTCATTGTCCATTAAAAATAGTACAAGCCTACATAAGTATCTAATAGATACTGCACCAAAACCAGTACATAGTCTAATACTTAAAAACATAGGAGAAAAGTACTGTGAAGCATTATATAAGCTACTTTTTGAAGTATTACGTAAACTTCCTCTCAAAACAATCAGATTGATACAAGCAGAAAATAACTGGGAGATGATTCTAGAATTCTGTGAGAACATACTTAAGATGGCCTTTATAACTTTCTATTCATTACTCACAGGGATATGCTGTTCTTCTCCAAAGGGTGCTGTTTTATCATGTAACTTTTGAATTCTCATATCCAGTAAGAACCATAATCCTTTCCACTAGCTTACATAATGTTTGGAAAGAGAAAGAATCATCTATGAATGCCAAGTGTTATTTTACCTGGAAACATTTAGAGTTCCACTGTGGGAGCAAATAGAGGACAAAAACGGTGGTTAACAACGCTGATGTTATGTTACCGAAACCCAGATCAGTTTATCTTAACTACGCTCACTTCAAACTTGTGGTAAGACTCAGAAACAAACTCAGTTTTCCAAATTGCTGATGTATCAGCTGAGCTCTCCAAGTTTCATACAGCTTGCAGAGATGTTTTAACATTTTGGGGTTGAGATAAAAGATTGATAGTGGCACAGTGCTTGCTACCACAGCAACAGGTCATTTGATTTAAATGCAGTTATCTTCTCAAGAAAGATCCCTTTTAATAGCTGTAGTAATTTATAATGTAATGGCTGAAGTTGAGTCATAGGAGAAAAAAAAACAGCACAACTGTTTTAAAAATAGGCAGATGAGTCAACATACACACCTATGTACTAAGAAACAAAGACGACAACACATAATACAAGGGTTTTTTAAATTGCTGAAGTCAACACTGATGCTGAGCTCCTCTCTAATTCACATTTTATGCTTCCTGACATGACCAAAAAAAAAATAGGAACTATTACAAACAAGTCAATTCTATTGTTCCCACTAGACTATAACTAAAATACCATAGAAAACAACTTGTTCTCATGAATATTGTGGTGCTTTCCAATCTTCAGATAAATAGCAAAGAATGTTAACATTCTCCAAGCAGCTGCAATTCCCCCATATCTCTCTCTGTCTAAGCAGCAATGCGGAGCAGTTCATTCTTACATAGGGAAAAGACGCTTGCTGTTTCAAAGACGTGTAAGAACTGTGATTTCTACTGGATGACACGATCTCAAATCTGCTTTCAGTAGGCTCCTTCATGAACTTGGAAGGCTTGCAGGGAGAGACTCAAAGAAGGCATCATTAATAATAGCACACTACCAATACTAATCACAAATTATGTTTGCAAAATATGTTACAAAAATTTGGCAGCAACAAAGCTGATGGAAAAAAAATTGCTTCATTTGGGTATCCCATTGCAGAAGTACCATTTCTACTGGGAGAGAAAGTAAAACATACAGCTTTACATCGGAGGAGCACTTGAATCTTGCAGTACTTCACATAACCACCAGAAATCAGAAGAGTGACACATTTCTTATCTCAGCAGTCTTTCTGGTTTTCCTGGGGAGAGAATGCAGACACAGTAGGGGATGATAGGGAGGTGCCTATGCTGAAGCTACTTCAAGTAAACAGCAGTAAAGCTCTGCTTGTTTGCAATAATGGTTATCTTGAAAACAGTCTTGCTTATCGAGATATTACTCGTGTAGTATCTGTGCTAGATTACTAGAATTACATAGACTTTCTCACCTCACCTATAAAGCTTCTATTATTTCTTTTCACTGCCCATTTTCACAGTTGAAATTGCTTCTTCATCTTCACATTCTGCCCTTAATCTTAAAACTGTCCATGAAAAAAAACCACAAGCTCCCAGTAAAAGACTAAAAAACCCAACGTTACGATATTCTCTTCTGTGTTTGTTTGAACAAGCATCTAGCAATACTCATACTCCTTTGCAAACATGCCTCACTTCACTGTTATTAGAAAAATAAATAAATAGGAAGAGAAATTAAAAATATTTACAATTATATATTATTTAAAATACAGGATAAAGACTACTTTCTAAATCACATACAAAAGTGTACCTCTAATTACACTAGTGCAGTTAAAATAGCAAAATAGTAATTAGTCTAAATCTAGCTAGTATGTAAAATCTAGGTAGATAGCTAACATTAACATAAGCATCTTTATCAGATGTAGCTGCTCCACGACTACTTTCATATTGACTTAACTATTTCACTAAAGAAAAAAAAACAACAGGCTTTTAACTGACATGACTAAACTTGTATGAACAATAATTGTATGCATTATCTACATCTGAAGGTTGAAGAACATATGATTCAGGAGAAAACCAAGAGGAAAAAAAAAGGCCACATACCAACTTTTTATTTGTTAACCACAGAAAAGAAGTTATCACTATCAGTTCACAGATTAGGACTGCTATGTGCAGAGGTAGCCAAGGAAACTTTCAGTGTTTCTGCCTGGGTTAAGATGTAATTTCCCCCCACAGTACAAGAGACTGCCTGTGGCAAACCAAAGTCAAAGTGTTCGCAGATCTGCTGTTGCTTACCCATCACGAAGGCTGTACCTTAAGTAGCCCAAATAAAACTCTCAGGCTGACTAAACCACACAAAGGGATTTCTTTGGTTCTTTGTTTGCCTTCTGAGCTGCCACATTATTTTGATCTTGTTGTTAAGGTTTTTTTCATTCATTCTTTTCTGATGAACAAGTAAACAGCAAACGAAGAAACTACATGCAAAATTCTTATTGCACAAGAGAATTCAATATAAACCATCTGGCAAGCAAAACAGCACCCTTTGGAAAAGAACAGCATATCTCCTTGAGCTGCTGCTAATCTAACAAAAGTGATAGGACAGGAATAGAACCTGGAATTAAGGCCTTTGTTCTCACGTCTATTTGAGAACAACACAGCAGGTTTAATTAAATATAGGGCTGAAAGAAGTTACCAGTTCTTAAATGTTTTCTAATATTTTCACTGTTGGTATAAAACTAGTGGTTACTATTGTATGCTAAGTGAAGAGTTCACAGAATCATAGAATCACAGAATGGCCTGGGTTGAAAAGGACCAGAACGATCATCTAGTTTCAACCCCTGCTATGTGCAGGGTTGTCAACCACCAGACCAGGCTGCCCAGAGCCACATCCAGCCTGGCCTTAAATGCTTCCAGGGATGGGGCATCCACAACCCCCTTGGGCAACCTGTTCCAGTGTGTCACCACCCTGCGTGTGAAAAACTTCCTCCTAATATCTAACATAAACCTCCCCTGCCTCTGTTTAAAACCATTCCCTCCAGTCCTATCACTATCAACCCATGTAAACAGTCATTTCCCCTCCTGTTTATAAGCTCCCTTCAAGCACTGGATGGCCACAATGGGCCACAATGATGTCTCCCCAGAGTTTTCTCTTTTCCAAGCTAAACAAGCCCAGTTCCCTCAACCTTTCCTCACAGGAGAGCTGCTCCAGCTCTCTGATCATCTTAGTGGCCCACTTCTGGACATGTTCCAGAGCTCTGAATCTTTCTTGAGCTGGGGGCCCCAGGCCTGGACACAGTACTCCGCAAGGCGCCTCACAAGAGCTGAGTACAGGGAGACAATCACCTCCCTCTCCCTCCTGGCCACCTTTTTTAATGCAGAGACTGCAAAAAGTTATAGCAGAAGTAAGGTTTATGGTGCAACCTACTCCAATGGAGCAAACCAATTAATATAACCAATTCAATATAACCTTGAATCACCTGCTGGAATGTTTATATCCTCAGTAAGTTTGTTTAATATTCTTACATCAGACACAGTGCTTCAACTATTTATGAAGAAGTTGAACTTTCTTTAATGCTGTTTAAATACTGCAACTGAATAATTTCATTACGAAACATATCAACCTTTCAGATTATGAAAGCAATAAAGAACCAAGATTAAAATTATACTTGGTACCTACGGTTGAAAAGCAAATGAAACAGATATGCACAAATGTTTCATACCATTTTCTTCAGGTTGCAGGTCTAATAAGTCATCTACAGCACCTAAGAATAAAAAAGAAGAAAATATTAAAAGCAACAGGAGATTTGCAGTACACTGACAAACACCTTGTATACATCTAGATGTAGTTTCTTAGGACACTTCACCTGAGTTCTGTTTGTGGTTACAATTTCTTTGTAACTTGGATAGGGAATCCTTGCCATCATGAGCTGTAATCAAGAGCCATAAACACATCAAATCACACTTGGCACTTGATGGTATTGATAGAATGAGAACATGTTCATAAACAATGTCACCACATTCAACATGCAGCAGTTGCTACCCATGTTTAAAATGAACCTGGTCACCAAGTGACCAGGGTGAAAGACCCAAGATATAAATATTTTTGAATAAGTAAAATTTCTGAATAATAACAAGGCGAAATCTTCCTCTGTAGCACTACCTGCCGCACAAGACCATCTCCAGGCTAGGTGCAACCAAAAGAGGCAACCCCAAGAACTGAACAGATGTCCATTTTTCTCCAGAAGCAGAGATGTGTTTTTTTATAAGTTTGTACTTCCACAGGGCAGAAGAGAGCACAAAAGTGCTCAGGATCTCATCACTCCTTAAACTGCTTTTCTTGACTATGTATCAGTTTGTTATACAAACTGGATGTTAAGAAGTGGAAGCAGTTGATGAGGAGAGCTGTGAATAAACAGTTCCATTACTAGTGGCACCATGTCAATTATTTTAGGATATAAAGATATACTTAAAAAAAAAAAAAAACAGAACAAAAAAACAATCTTAGCAATGTCAGAGACTTGCTAGTATATGAAGAGGGGAAAATTTAGCAGAAGTATTTCAAAATATTTCAGTTCCTTCTAGAGATGAAGGAGAAAGAGACACAAGGTATTTATATTATGGATAATACTTATGTGCTGTCAAATATTTCAGCAAGTGAGAACAATTCTAGACAACGCCTGCTAAGAAAATACTTTAAAAAGTTAGGTTTTTATATCCAAAAATATTAAAATATCTGATAAAGTAAGTATCCAACTGCTTAACTGCAAAGTGGTTGAAACTTCTAATTGCAAAAAATGTCCTGATGTGGTGCCACAATTAAAGAAAACACACACACACACAAAAGAATAACTAACATAGTGATTCAAGTAACTGTAGGTAGCTATGGGCTGGTAGCTCATCATTACTCCTTGTAAAAGAACAGGAGTACAAGTGCTCCTGTAATAAAATGTATTTTTATGGAAAATAGGCTTAGTTTAAAAAAATACCAAAAACCAGAGATCAAACCAAAACAGTAACAACAACAAAAAAACAACTAATTCAATTCTTTGATAAAACTATGAGCTTTTTTAGCAAAGAAATTTGTTTAGAATCAAGTTGACTTTCCACTATACAGCCTTCCAGCTAGAAAGTTAGCACTGCGTAATATCTATAAGAAACATATTGAATGTATTAGGAACAAGACAACTAACAGATGTCAAAAGAAGTTGTTGGCAAAAATAATTGCAAAGTAGAAGTGTTTCCAGTTTAGATCTGCAAGGTTTAGTGTTATATTCATTGCTTTTCAATGGTTTTAGCAGCCATCTGGAAGTAAACACAGAATCCCTCTTAAAAAAAAATGTGCAAACAACTTCCAGACTGTTAGAGGTGGTCATTCAGACCAGTCACTCAGTTACTACAGTAAAGCTGGAGAATTTAATACCACTAATTCTTAAGATATATCTCTAGGAATAAAGAATATAAACCATGCTTCAGAATGGAAGAATGAGTCCTGGAAATCTGTGACTAAAGTGAACCATGATTTCATAAATAAAAAAAAAACCCACAAATGTGAGCTTCTAACTTGACATAACTGAAAAAATGAGATATTTCTGGAAATAGAAAAAAAAGAAGGCGAAGAGTAGAAACAGGAATGTGACTTTAGAAACATTACTGGTGAACCTAATATCAGAAATGTCTTGTACAGTAATACTGCTCAAATATTAAAAGTGATGCTGGACAAGGAATGGAAACAAAAACTTCAAAACTAATGGACTAGAGAAGATGTATTACAGATATCAATATGTTAGCCTATCACGAGGAGGATCTGAACTGGAAGATTCTCCATTAATTTAGTACATAAAGATAAACCTTAAAGTCATAGCATAACTTGGATGGACGTCTGGGTGCCATTTTGTGAACCACTCATTAGTGTAGAGCTAGCTATGAAGATGGATCAGGCTTCTCAGGGATGTGCCTCAAACATCTCCAAGGATGGCAGTTTCTGTAAGGACTTATTCCAACTCTTCACCACCCTTGCAGAGAACACTCTTTCTAATACCTAACCACATTTTCCCCTCCTGTCATTCGTCTCCATCACCTACCATTCTTTCATTGAGAATCTTCAACTAGAGCCTGGCTGTGTCACTCAGTAATAACCACATATCAGGTCATTGGCAGAAGCTGAATATGACTTTGCCCACCGTTTAGCCGTAAGTTCCACTGAATTCAACGAGTTATTAACAGAGTGGATGTTTAATCACTGGAATAAACTAGTATGCTAAGTAACAGTTTCCCTGTCTTGACATTTACTGATCAGAAAATCTCCTCGAGGATGTGCTCAGTGTAAGAATTATGCTTTGGAAAGCAAACTATTTGTCTGAGAGTAACTGAGTGAAATGCAGTGGAATACAATACATAAGACATTATGTTTAACAGATCTTCCTGGCATTAAGTTTTACACATTTGCGGGGATTTGCTTATTGAAGCTGAACATACATTAAACAAACAAAAAAGAAAACAACATATATTGCATTTATGAGTTGTGAACACATGAAATAAAATACCTGAATAGTCTGGTTCCTTTGTATGATTCTCCTCATCTAATGAAATCAACCTTAATTTGAAAGAGGAAGAAACATTAAGAAAACAATTCTAGGAATAGCAAATGTATTATTCTCTTTTTGGTCACACCATTACGAATCATAATGACAAGAAGGAAACAGTAATTCATATGGACTCCTGCTTTTGCTATATATGCTGGTTTATTGTTGAATTGGAAGAAGTCTGTTGAAAATCAAAATAAGACTGAAGACCAACTGTAAAAACCTACCAGCTTTTCATTCTTCACCTAACTAAATATATGTAATGAAAGCATAGAGTATTCCGTTTTGGTCAGTGGATGTAAACCTAAACAAGTAAAATAACTTTTATTATAAATAGCCAAGCAAAATCCACTAATTGTCAGTCAAGCTGTTCTCTGCTTTTTGACAACTGATCCTTAGCTGGGTGCTTCACTTAAGCACAGATAGTCAAAACAACAGGTGGCAGCAGGATTATATCAACATAGCATCTCCTCGCAACTGAATCCTGATGGTCCCGTAGGGGAGGGATCACATCTCATTCTCCTGTTCTTCTGTTTCTATAGCAGCCCATTCATAAGTCTCTCTCACCTCAGAGCTACAGGTAACCCAAACCTTGATAGCATCAGCACACTTAAGTGCACTTTTTACTAAGTACCTCCTGTTTCATTGGATTACTAACCAGTGCTGTATACATTACAAAAACTAATTGCTGCTCAAAGCAATCAGGAATCCATATCCTATTCCCAGGTGAAAGGAGATGCTGCTGAAGGGAGAAATAGAATGCTCACATATCTTCTCCCATATGATGCTGCTTTACTAAGGAAAAAATCAAGCAAAAGCTGAAAAATAAAGACATGGCTAAGAAAGATGAGAAACACATCAGGTTTAATGGATCTTTTTCAAGCTCTCAATTTCATCTTAAAGTTTATTAATTTTCATACACACAATACAACATTTCAATAATGCTTGCATTAAGCTTACTTTTTGCTAACGTGATCAAATTACCCATGTCTATATTTTCAGTTTTAAATGTTTGGTGACCTCTGTAACTAGAAATCAGATTATACATAGATAGAGATACTTATTATTTTGAGATACAGTGCATATGACTTACTGACTCTGCTGATCTTCTGATTTGGTGCTCTCAGTCTGCGGGTCCTCCTTTTCTGTTGTTTCTCTTAGTTTATTCACAGGATCTTGCAAACTCTACATTATATTCATTACATAAGTGAGGAGAGAGAAGAAGAAAAGATTCAGGGAAGCAAAGGTGTGTCATGCAAGGCCAAACAAGGCCATAAAGACTACATAATTTAGTATAAAAAGTACATCTGATACAAATAGATCCAAAGTCAATTTGCTCCTCATATTGTTTCTTTATTTCTTTACTCTCTTTTCTTCCTGACCCAACTATTCATAGGACCTTAGCAATAGCAGTGTAATACGAAGGTGCTCCTCATATTCTGAAACTGAAAGCAAGAGTTAAAATCTCAGATCATTAGGTAAGAGGCCAAGTGTGATATTACCATAGCCTACTTACCCCGTTACAATGTGGAAGACCATGCTATAAGATAACAGCAGTTTCGTGGCCAGCACTTTTATATGCAGAAGTTGGGTGTGTGAACAAGCCAAGATATGAAGCACTGTATTCTCACTGAGATTAGAGAACTGATAAATATACTACTAGTTGTCCCCATAGTTAATATTGTCCATTAATGAGGGTTGCTGTATGAAAACTTAAATGAAGATAGTATTTAACATGTTCACTAAGTCCAGCTCATATAAAGAATAAAGGTTACTGTCCCCCATCCACCCACCTGCTACAAGAAAAATATTTCCATAAGTTGTAGAACTTGTTTGCACTGCCCTGTTAACCAGAATCTGTTAGTCACTAGAAGGGGCATTCCAGTGACTTTTTCTGTTAGTACTTGTGTGTACAAGAATACGTACACTTTTCTGTTTTAGAAACCAAACTAATGGATTTGTCAGATACTGCAGTTGCCGTTTTTACCCCCTCTCAGTGAATTAATACCTACCTAGTACAACAGATTAATTTGTTACAAGCATCTAGAGCACTGCAGACATCATGAATTGAATAATGAGGGATCACACAGGCTTCAGCAATAATTAGAGGCCTTAAAGAAAGGTACTTTACTTTATGGTTGTTGTATTTTTCCAACACTAAAACAGTGCAAAGCCAAAACCACTTATAAGTGTACTACTTGGATTCTGAAAAACAGACGCGAGCCACCTCATCTAGATGAAGGTATATGTTACCCTTTAACTGTGTTCGTACCAGGTGCTGACTAGATTGCACCTCTTCTACTATTAAAATTGGTGGGAATTATTCACTTGATTCTGAGAAGACCTGAATTAAAGTTCAGAAACAAAGCAACATGCACAGAACTGCAGTACAAAGAAAGACAGCACAGCTACTGGCAGTGAAGCATCTTAGACATCTTCACATAGACCATACAGTTCACTGCACTCAGGAGGTGACGCTGCAATGGTGTGTGGTGCTCTGTGGCCAAGCACAGCAGCACAGAGCCTACCCCAAGAAGGATGTTATGTTTTAGAATAACAAACAGGGCTACTTAAACTACTACCTAATTATGTAACTTAGAGAGTTATCAGAAATAAAACCTTTTGCATCTCCACCAATGAAAAGTTTTACTTCTTTTTTTTAATGGAGAAATTGCCATCCTTCCTTAAGAAACTGTATCACGATGCTTCCTTCATTGTTAAAGAATGTTTCAGGAAATCCATTTTTAAAAGCCTGTGATCAAACCACGGAAACAGTATATAGAAATTGAGTTCACAAGTACCTTAGGAAGGAAACAGAATGATAATACTCAGAGTCACTATTTCCTGTATTAGAAAAATAAATATAGCTCTGAAATACAGCTTCAGTTTAAATGGAAATTACAACAAAACATTGCTGAAGATCAGCAGCTATATTTTAAAACAATAATGTAACTAATTGTTTTTACATGTAGGCAATATTTCCATCAATTCTAACAGCAAATAATTAAATTAATATCCTTTCCCCTATCTCCCTCCACTCCACATCCTAATGTGCACTATGAACTGAGGTATCTTTCTAAAATGATAAAAAAAATAGAGAATAAATACAAAATAAAAATGAGTGATAAAAGGTACTGTTAACTGTTTTTTGAACATGAATGCACAATAATGTGATAACTATTGTAAACATGCATACAAATGACACTGTGACATTCTATTAATTGTTTTAGGTTATGTCTGAAGAAAGGAAGGTCTCCCATCACTTAGGAAGTAAAATGATTAAACAAGTCTGTAAAGGCACAGACTGAATGTGTACAAAAGGAAGAATGCTCCATTCAGCTTGGTGTATAAAACATCACTGACTTCACTGGCTGAGAAGAAACAGATGTCTAACTTCACAAAACTCTTCTGGATGCTTGTGTGAACTCACATGGACTTTGTAAGCCATACAAATACATGGCTGAGGGTCTCATGCCTCAAAAGCTTTCTTCCTAGCTTCTATAGTTCTCTTCTATAAAAATTGGTAAGATTGTACACACTTGTAGAGCCACTTCACAGTCCCTCATTGTGCCTATTCTCTGTCTCTGCAACTAAAAGTCACCCAATAATATTTTGCTAGCTACCATTACTCAAATTAATATCCCAGCCATCCATGGGATTTATCCACTGCCAAGTTAACATGGATTCCAGTTAAAACACTGCTCCTACGCTGACTGCCTGTCACTTACAAAACTCCTTTACCTTGATTTGGGCTTCTTTCAAGTCCAGCCAAAATGACCTAGACTGCATGAAAACCTATCCTCTATTTGCATCACTGGAGTGTTGGCAATGCACTCAGCTTGCCTTTGCATTTATAGCTCCTCCCAAGTGATTGGACAACTTAGGCACTTCTGCTCCAGTGCAGCCTCACTTCAAGTGTTGCGTGCAGTTTTGGACACCACAATATCAGAAGGACATAAAACTGTTAGAGAGCATCCAAAGGAGGGCAACAAAGATGGGAAGGATCTAGAGGACAAGGTGCATGAGGAGCGGCTGAAGTCCCTTGGTTTGCTCAGCACAGAGCAGAGGAGCTGAGGGGAGGCCTCATGGCAGCTGCAGCTCTCACACAGGAGGGGCAGCACTGAGCTCTGCTCTATGTGACAGTAACAGGGCCCGAAGGAACAGCATGGAGCTGTGTCAGGCGAGGGGCAGCTGGGGTCAGGGAAAGGGGTCTGCACCATATTGCACTGGGCATGGAACAGGCTGCCAAGGCTTCCCATGGTCATAGTCCAAAGTTGCTGGAGTTCAAGGAGTATTTGAATTTTGGTTGGCCCTGCGTGGAGCCAGGAGCTGGACTTGATGGTACTGTGGGTCCCTTCCTACTTAGGATATTCTCTGATTCTTTGCTGTGAGAAAGAATCAAAGTAACATAGCTAAGGGCAGCTCCAGAAGAAAGGGAGACATCCCATGTCCTTGTAAGAACATATGGAGAAGCACAACACCATTGAAGAGACAAATACTTGCATCTGCTTCATTGGAGGGAAGACTGAAAGGTGGCTTTAGAACTGCCTCACAGAGGTTCATAAAGAAGAAAAAAGCACCTGGAGATATAAGATGATAGTCTTGCCTAGGGAGTAAAGTCATGATGCAGCAAATGGAAAGGAAACAACAGCAAAGGTCAGCAGAAGGTAACAGTACTGAAGTAGCTGCTTGGGCTTGGTTCTCCAAACCGTTTAAGCAGCAGATGCAGCAGTAGTCCACTTTGCACCCAAAAAAGGATGCACTTAGATCTCTTGAGTCCTTTACCGAGGCTAGTACAGTTTCTTGACTCATATGAACTCTTCAGAAAGTTTAGCACTATAGTATAGAAACATAAAAAATCTGATCAAATACTCATTAAGTAAGGCAAATAAACTGACAGAAATTTGAAAGAGGCATCATTTATGGAAAGCAGCCCCTGAAATAAACTCGAATCCATTTGATATATAGTAATTTAAAGACAATGAAACTTTCAAAGTGTTACCAAAGCAGCAGCCCATCATCTTTAATATTACAGTAATGGATATTTTTACATCATGATACACAGGTTTGTTAGCACATTAATAATAATCTTTCATCAAGCATAAAATCAACAGTTAGGAAATACAGCTGCAATAGCACAGTTATACTACTCTCAGCATATACCCTAAAGCAAAGAAAACAAATGGGCTGCTTTTCATTAATGGGAGTTTGGCAGCCATCTCTAAAGATAATGTTTTCTTTCCAGAAACAACCCCAAGAGCCACTTAAGAGTCTCTTTCCTGAGGTAAATCTAATATACTCATACTACAAAATGCAAATAGTAATTTTCCACTAAATGGCACCTTCTAATTTTTCAGTAAGACAATTTACATCTAAGTCAAATAGTAACATTGTTTCCTTAAATTCTTGTTTTAAAGCAAAACGCTGACCCTACATACATGTATGCTCAGTTTAATTCAGAAGAGGTACTTCTGTATTAAGGATGAGTAACATTAAGGTGCTCCCATCAGAACTAGAATTCTAAAAGTAAAAAATGATTTGCAAGCACCAAGTTCAATATTTTCCCTTAGAAAATATCCCTTCTGAGATACAAGACAAGGAAAAATATTCTAAGAGACAACTTTCAATTAAACATGTAAAAATGGTCACATTAGATTAGTTCATGTACACTTTAAACAATTAGATATTCCAATTGTATGCTTTTAATGCATGAAGGGGACATCAGATACAACATTTTCATTGAGTAAACTCCTACACCAGAGGATTACTCATTAGAAATTGCACTTATTCTTGATCACCTACAGCCACTAATTATACTTCACAAGAAAAAAATAATACCACCATCAGGTTTATTGATGGAAAAGAGATCATGCAGGAGACTGAACTTTGATATACAAAAGAAAATAATCCCACACTCTAGAGACCACAAGAAATAAAGAACTGATAGTATAAGGCAGCAACATAGTCTTATCCCCAAGCAGCTGTTTTCTGCAAGAACAGACTTCCACGAAACTGCAATATAAAACTAACTTCTGATTACCATTACATTTCAGCATATATGTAACTGCAAAAACAGGAAATCACATATTTTCAGAGCAGGAGGCCAGTAATAAAAATGGTTGTGATTCTCATTAACAAACTAGGGCTGCACCTCAAACATACTACAGTCACTTTTATAGTTATTTTCTGTTCCACTGAGTGCTTGTTACATGTGTGCAGATAATATGGATTTTATTACTCCACCATAGATTCCTAACTTAATTTCAAGTTTAGAGTATGTTGAAATCTTTCACAGGAGGTAGTTCAGAAGAACACAAGCATTTAAAAGTATCTCACCCTTTACCCCATGAATATTCCATGCTCTATAGAATAGGTGCATTTTCTGTGCAAGTTTATTTCCAAGATGTCTAAATATTACTATGTATTTTGAAACATCATATGTCTTGTTAAAATAATCATGTTTATAGGTATGAAAAGGAATAAAGAATAAATATGCAGCAAAAATACAGGCTAGCTGCACAAATTAGACTGGAAAGGATTTGTTTAAAAGCAAAGAGAAAAAATCCTTAAAAAAATTTTACACATCAGGAGATTGAGCCAGAGCAGTTCCTCAGCATGCTACCCAGGTTCTGGCCATGTTAAGCTCAGGCTGTGAACCAGCCATTGGTACAACAGGAGGTGACTGTGAGAAAACAAAGAGGTTCAGAGTTTAACTGCAGAGTCTGTAGGCAATGACAGGCAATATCAAGATGCTTGTCTTCTTTTGAAATTTGGAGGTACCTTGTGTCTAGAATTTGGAGTATGTAAGAAGGAAGCACAGAGTTCGGGTAACTTCAGAGCAATTGTGGACTTATCCTACAAGAGAGGATTCTTTAGAGACTGTCTAAGATGAAAAGTTCATGAGTTTTTAAAACTGTCCAGTACAGCCTCCTTTTATTTTTGTCTTCTTGTCAGGAGAGACTGAAGTTTGAAATGTGTTTGTTTGGTTGGTTTGTTTTAAGCTGCAGAAATAATTGTCCCCACAAACACCTTATGAAAACTATGAAACTGCTCCCTCCCAGCTCACATTCTAGAAGACAACTTTAAATACAGTATGTCGTGTACAGGCGGGTATGCTAGCCTGTGGTATATTAAATCTTATACCTTCAGGTGCTTTTTCTCCCAGAGATCTGGAGTAGCACAGGCTATACAGTACACGGCAGTCCAGCTTTCACTTCTGCATGTCATGTGCACAAACATACATGGATTGAGGCTATGAGTTGTAATTGTTTTCCAACTAGACTGTCTCTCCAAGCACACAGTGCTTCACTCAAAGTTATTCATTCTTTACTTTTCTGCCAGTTGGTAATCCTTCCATCAGACCTTCTTAAGGCAAATGTTATTTTTCTCCCACATAAATAGGATCAGGCAATCACATAGTTATTATGTTGCATAAAATAATTACAGGACAAGGACATATACGAGGATAACTGGGAAATTAATGTTTCTTTTTTTTCCTATTCCTCTACTGAAGCTCAAATTGCAATGGGAAGAGCAACTTCTTAGGCAGCAGCAGACATGATCAGAAAAATACACAGTGTGAGTGAGCACTTATTTTTGGAAACCTAGCTAAACTTTGAACTCAATACTTTAGTCAGACATTGCACATGTTCCACATTCAAGAATTATAGAAGATCAGCAAATATCACTAGTCAAGGAAAACAGTAATTCCAAGAGCGGTTGAGGGTAGAATGTACTTTAGCACAGGCATGGAGACTGTGGGCATGTTCGTATTCATATTCAGTCTGACAAGATCTTACAGAGTGGGAGTTTTCAAAAGCGGATGCAAAGGCAATTTAGTATTAATTCATGTGTGGAATTATGGGGGACAACACAAATCCTTAATTCTGCTGGACTTCATGATTCTTTAAGGGCAACTAAACACAATCCCAGTTAGCACTTAAACATATACTTAAGTGCAGCCTATAATGAATAATGACTTTCTTTAAAATATGTCCTTAATCACTACACTCTACATGCAGTTTCTGATACTACTGCCAGAAGTGTTTTTGATAGAAAACATGTATTTAAATGAAAAAATGGGACAGGGATTGAATTGGCAGACAACATATGTCCTTGAACTTTTAAGCGGGGGTCAGGGGAGCAAAATCCCAACCAATGCAAGAGCAGAGCAAATCCAAGACAACCTCGAGAATGAATGTCTATGGAACCAGATGACATGCATCCCAGGGTTCTAAAGGAACTGGCTGATATGGATGCCAAGCCACTCTCTATCATATATGAAAAACAGTAGATGTCAAGCAAAGCCCCCAAGGACTGGAAAAAGGGAAACATCACTCCCATATTCAAGAAAAGGAGAAAAAAAAGACCTGGGGAACTACAGGTTTGTAGTTCATACTATCTGGTCATAGTCACATGGTTGTGGTCAAGGGCTCTATGTCCAAGTGAAGGTCGGTTATAAGCTATCTTCACCAGGGGTTCGTCTTCAACATCTTTATCAACTACACAGACAGCGGGGTGGAGTGTAACCTCAACAAGTTTGCAGATGACACCAACCTGAGCGGTGCAGCTGACACAACATAAAAGAGAGATGTCATCCAGAGGAATCTGGACAGAATCTGGACATGCTAAGAAAGTGGGCATACAAGAATCTAATGAGGTTTAACAATGCCAAGTGCAAGACCCCACCAGTAGTACTCTGTCCAAGCCTGAGCCCCACAGTACATTAAGAATGCAAAGCTGTTGGAGCAGGTCCAGAGTAAGGCCACAAAGATGACCAAAGGACTGGTGCATCTCTCCTATGAAGATAGGTTGAGGGAGTTGGGATTGTTTAGCTTTGAGATGAGAAAGCTTTGGGGAGATATCACTGTGGCATTCCAGTACTTGAAGGGAGCTTACAAGCAGGAGAAGGACTGACTTTTTACATGGTCTGATAGTGACAGGACAAGAGGGACTGGCTTGAAACTAAAAGAAGGGAGATTAAAATTAGATGTTACGAAGAAATTTTTTTTACTCAGAGAGTGGTGAGGCAGTATAATAGGTTGCTCAGAGAGGTTATGGATGCTCCATCTCTGGAGGCATTCAAGGCCAGGTTGGATGGGATCCTGGGCAGCCTTATCTAGTGGCTGGCAACCCTGTCCATGGCAAGGGAGTTGGAACTAGATAACCTTTAAGGTTCCCTCCAACCTAAGCCATTCCATGATTCAACAAAACGTGAATGCTTTCTGTATCACTGTATGGTCTCTTATTTGTTACCAATGGGAAGACAAATGTACCTATATATTCCTTACCTTTAGCATAGTGAATTCATACGGCTGATAACCTTTGAAACTTTCATGGATAGCTGCCATTGTGTGCGAAGTTTTTTCCCAAAAATGAAGAAGTGTTGTCTGTAAGGCAGAGTAAAATTTCAGTCCAATGTTATCTTAAACATGAATCTGTTTTTCACACAAGGTTTATATCTCCAATCCAGTATTAGTTATAGATTGTCGTGTTTGAATATTGCCATGGAAACCTCTTAGAAAAACATATATTAACAGGAAATCTTTATTTGGGAGGTTAATAGGTTTTGTTTTTTTGGTACCTGATATGTTGTTAATACATGAGAAAGAAGGTTGCATCTGCTTGCTCCCAAAAGGTCAACTTTTTGACAGACATCAGTCTTCAGTTTGTCAAAGTTGAGTTTTGCATGTCGCACTTGAGCTTGAACCTTCAAACAAAGGGAGAATTATTTATGCAGCGAGTTGTTTTCTTCATTTTTCTACCCCAACTTCATAATAGAAGAAACAAGCAGAACTTAGAAAATCAGAAATACCAGAAAATAGAAATGAGAAATCTGAATAGACTCAATTAAAGTTTCATATAGAATTATTAATATAATCTGTCCCACTGAAAATACATTATAGCAAGCTGACATGCTAAAATTAGGAATTATAAGTTTACTGCATAACACACAAGGACATGTCCATATACCTGTTGTAGGAAAGCAAATATACTGATAAACTTTAAAGTCAGTCAGAATCTTTTACTGATAATATAGCAGTTCAGTAACTTTGAACTGCTACAAAAAGTTATCTTGTCAAAGTTCTCCTTTTAATAGAAGTGCTTTTCTCATTTGTTGCTATAAGGAGAGTATCAAGACCTCCTTTCATAGGAACAATTTCTGTTTGAAAGAATTTTAGTTTAACAAATTTTTCTTCTACTACCAGTTATGTATATAAAAGACATTCTGTTATGCAAGCCACACACATTTGATGACAATACTAGTATTCTCATCAGGTATCAGAACAGAAACTTGATATAGGCATTTTGAGCACAGGATATCTCATTTTAATGACAATTTTGTGCAGAGAAATTTGTATACAACAAAATGTTTACACAATCTAGTTTTTGTCCAAGGAAATACAAAATTATCAAAAAACAAAACGATTTTCCTATCACTCTTTCACAGTTAAAATGTTTACCAAAAAAACCTTCACAGTAAATGAAAACCACACTGAACTCAAATTAAATACATTTCCTTGTCTTTACTTGGCCAATTCAGAGAGGAAGCTTATTTTGGTCAGAATACACAGACTTGGTTAAAACAAGATCTGACAAACTTGCATGTTCCTGATCTTCAGAAGTGAAGCCATAATCCTGCAACAAGTATCTGTGGTCCTTTTGTGGTGGACACATCTCATGACACCATCTGAAATGTTAGGGCTACAATACCTATCATCCTATCTCACTTATAGTAATAGACTTCCAACCAGGCAGAAAAAAGCAAAAGATCAGTGCCACAAATTCATCAGATGACCTACTCAGATGAATTGTGGCTGTGCCTGTGATTGGACAACCCTTTTTCACTAATCTCATCTGATCAACTGTGCATATGTTACAGGGTTGTACATATCAAAGGTCTGATATATTCATAATGAAGGAGTAACCATACTGAAAACTGATGAAAAGTGAAGACTCTCACAGGTGAGATTTTAATTCTAGTTGATGGCAATGTGTCAAATATAAAGCTATACTTTCCAATGATGCAGCTGAGATCAGAATCTTTTTGCTCTTCAGTCTATCACAGCACTAGTTTGTTTGTGAGAGTACAGCAAGGTCGACTGCAATTTTGTACACTCATAGTCCAAATGAGCAAAGAATGTTACTTCTGGGGAACATAAGTATCTCTGTTTCAGAAATGGTGGTCCACAAGAAAAAAATATACTAATAAATGTGATTATTAATTTCCACAGTTGGAAGTCTGGACAGGGACTTTATACAACAAATTGGGATTCAGGTCCATCTCATGTCTCCAACTCCTTAAGAAAAAAGCCCAGAAAAGAAAAAACTTGTAAAATTTCCAGTTACAGTCTTCCTGCAAACAGCCTTCGGGACACTTAGCAAGAAACAACATCAGCATTTTATCTTAGCATGTAATTAAGTGCCTCATTTAAAAGCTACAATACTGACAAAAAGGCAATTCATTACAATGTGGAATATTAACCTGTATGTTTGAGATAATCATACAGATGATTCAAAATACTTAACATGATGTTTTGATACCAAATGTCACATGTTTATTTTACCAACCAATTAAGACTTAAAAGTATGAGAATTATTCAATTAAGGATGTTTATGAGCTTTTTTAACATACTAAAAGTTTATTTAACAGAAATACTCTCCATTGTAGAGCAGCAGTGCAGGACAGCCCAGAAAGAACCCCACCCCAGGTCATCATCATGACCTTTTGCCTTTTATGTGTGCCCATGAGCACATTTTCAATTCAAATTATTCTTAGACACTTTTCAAGATTACTGGCTTCAGGAATTAGGAATAAAACCTCTATGCTCATGAAGCATAATCTACTTAAAACTGCACAAATTATTATAACAACACTTTAGTTTTCTGCTCAAAGGGCAGTTTATGCAACATATACTAAAGTTCTCCTTCCTCTGCAATTACTTTCCAAGGCAGGACAAATAGAATCACACTGTGGTTTCTGTTCTGCGAATTTTATTTCACATATTTCACTTCATCCATGCACACCATACAAAATTTATTCAAAATCCTGGTCTGAGATGTGTTGGGATTTTACTGACTAAAGAGAACTGTACTGATTCAAAGGTAAGGTGGGCACTTTACAATGAAAGAGCTTCTAGCATCTGAAGCAGGAGATGCCAGTTAAAAGATTTATGCAATAGATGAAAATCTCACCAACATACAGCTGACATAAAAAAAAAAAGATTACTACTCTCCATCTTTTCCTTTTTCTAAGGAAAAGTAAACTGCTTTTAATTTTCCAATGGAAATATCAAAGCATAATATTTAAAAGATGGAATTCTTTAAAGAGAACACATGAGAAAAATCTGGAAAAAAAAGTGTCTTATTAATTGCTTGATAAACTAATAAGACATATAAAAATGAAATAATTTTTAAAAACTTAAAATAGATTAATAATCAGTGCTAAGATCCTAAATGCTGTGTGTCTGAAATTCAGACTCTGGGATGCTTGATTGTAAGGGAATATAAATGCAGCTTCCTAAGCTGATAGTCAAACAGAAAAGTCCCAGTCTTCAAGACTGCCATCATTAAAAATAAATATATAAATAAAATCTTACATCCCATTAAAAAACCCTGTTCAGTATATTGCTATTAAAATTTGGATTTTTTTTTTTTTTTTTTAATTTACATATTTTCAAGAAACATTTGTGACTTCTATGGTATTTCCATGTTTTGGTCTAAGATAAAACACGACATTTATTTTCAGTAGTAACCCAATTTCAGGGACAGTTCAGCCAATAAAAAATTATCTCCAAACTAAATGCAGTATATTTTTTGTCTCAGCACTTCCAGTATAAAAGCAGAAACAGATGCTTTCAGTCTCATTTGTCAACCAGCCTCTCACTTACTTGATCTGAAAAGCATGCACAGTGTGTGTACAGAGTGGAAAGCAGGGGGGGGAAGTAAATCAAGAGGGAAAAATTCCTGAAATATAGCAAACTTTCCTGTTGGGAACTCTGGGTAAACTCCACCAGCAGATGGAATCAGCACAAATCTCTGCATGAAATAAGCGTAACACCTTCTGGCATACCTGACTGTTATAAAGACTACATGAAACCTAAGCACAAAATAAAACAGGCTGTATTTTTAGGACAAAGTATTTAGAGTACAGAAGAGAAAGCAAAAAGAACCTGGCTACTAGTTATCACAGAACTGTAATAACATCACCTAAGCTATGAAGTTATGAAAAGGAACACCTACTGCACTTTTAAACCAACATATGCAAGCACCTATTGCAGTCTGCTCTTAAAGTTGAATTTGATGCCATAAGTTTGAGAATAGAAAAGCTAATGTTTTATAAAAAATAATGACTGTCGCTAAACTATTCCATGTGCTACACAAAGAATTCCGAAGTCTTGCATGGTACTAACCCCAATTTTAGCATGCTTTGGTATGTGCAACATTCTGCAGGTTTTTCTTTGACTCAACTGTTCCCTTGGGTGGGAACAGTATTTACTGCATGTATTAATCTCTGTTCCATGAACATGTAAGGATAATATGTAAAAACAATATTTAAAGAAGAGGTTGTATACTTCTGTTCATCTCCTTTAACCCTTCATTTGTGGTCTGATGAAGAACACTGATAAAAGCTACTTTTAGGAAATGACATTTATGAAGTTCAAAATGCCTAACTAGAAAGTAAAATCACTTTGGCAGAATAACACATGCAGACAATATCTGTCACATTTTAAGCTAAGCAGATGTACATCAAATTTGTTAAAAAACCAAAGCTATTCTTGTAAGATATGTAAAGTACCCTAGAAAAAAAGGTGCATAATTAGTTCCAATGATATACTAATTGAGTTTGCCATTTTGGACTTAATTACAACTGCCCCTGCTTGTGTACATATGCTCATGCACCTCACCCTATTAGGCTTGATTACGTAAATTTAAGGTAATGTTGGCATTCCTATAAAGGATTAAATAATTACCACTGCATGTCTATCTGTCTTACTCTTGAAAGCAAAAGAAGTATTGTTTGCCCTTCTGCCTAAAAAAAAATGATAGCTTTGAAAGAATAGCCAGTTCTGTGGAATTGCTACCCATGATTCTTACTTTCTGTCAGTACAGAATTACAAGCAAATAATGCCTTAACACTGCTGTTAAAAACCTGTGTGTTCTGTGTCAGAGTTGTTTCTATCTATCAGGAATACCATGAGAAAAGAAAACAGAAGTAACTGAAAGTTAAATTAAACATTATGTTAACTGCAAATGATCGCAAGTGATTCTGAAAAGAAGATTGAGAAAACTTTCTGGTATCCTAAAGTGATAAAAAAAACCTCCAACTATTATAGATCCATTTGAGTTGGAAGGGACCCTTAAATATCATTTCAGCTCCCTTGCAATGAACAGGGACACCTACACTACATCAGGCTGCTCAGAGCCTGGTCCAGCCAGACCTTAAATATCTTCAAGGATGGGGCATCCACCACCTCTCTGGGCAACCTGTTCTAGCACTTCACTACCTTATTGTAAACAACTTTTTTTTTTTTTTTTTTTGAATCTAAATCTTCTCTATTTTAGTTTGAACCCATTTCCCCTTGTCCTATCACCCTGCTAAAGAGCCTATTCCCTTCTTCCTTATAGCTCCTGTTTAGACATTGAAAGGGTGCAATGAGGTCTCCCTAGAGTCTTCAATTCTCCAGGCTGAACAGCTCCAGCTCACTC